AATCTTTTTAAAAAGTATTTGTTGTGTTTCATGCAGTTTATCAGTTTTTTAAGTGGGATTATTTACTACTGGTTATCAATGTTTGACATATCTTTCTGATAAAAATGGCCAACTTTAATTTGTATTTTTACTTTTGTCCTGTAAAAACTTACATAACTCAAGTGACTGTGAAGTAAGTTTATTGCAGCAAAAAGAAATATACCCTTGTTTGGCCTTCTGGTTTGACAAAGAAAGGTTATTTTGTGTTTTGGCTCAGGGATGTTTGTTATATATTTGTAATAATTGTCAATTATACCAGTTCCCTTCATTCCAGATCCTTTCCCCTCACTGTCACTTCAGTCCAAGTCCTAGACTCATGACTGATAATGGAAAATAAGGACTGAAGTTTTTGTTACAAGGAAAAGTAAATGCCAAAGGAAAAAAAGCCTGATGCACTTAGAAAAGTAGGAAATTCCTCTGACCATTTATGTATACATCTGAGTATGTGTGTTTAACAGAGACAGACATTTGATATGTATGTTTTATAGCTGCATGTGTTTATTTCAGTCATACTATTAGAACTCATAAGAACTGCATTGCAAAAACAATTTTCTGTGTCCTGAATTGGTATCTTTTTGGATTTTACTTCATAATTATTTCTATAATTCGTTCTACAAGTCAATATAGATGTAACTGGCTTAGTTCTACCTCCTGTCTAGTTTAGATATGCAGAGATGGCGGTAATGAATATTTAATTTATTCTACATTTTATTTTTTAACAAATCATATGACCAGTTAGGATGATATCCAAATTAGTATCCTATTCCTACATTCAAATTCCAGGATTTTTTACATAGAAAATGGGCACCCTACATAAGAATTTAATAGTCAAATATGGAGAAGCGTATGACTAGAGTTATTTGCATAAATTTGTATTTGAAAATTCCTCAGGAACATCCTTCAAAATATTTTCTGTGAGCACATGTGCAATTCATATATTACTTGATCTGGATGAATCCTTCCTCACAATCCTTCCAGCATCTCTGAATTAAAACCAAAGTCTCCAATCTCCTTGTTTTGTTTTTTTTGAAGTGACAAGTAATTAGTGTACATATTGCTGGGACACAGTGCAATGTCTTGATACATGTATACATTGTGTAATAATCACATCAAAATATTTAACATACTCATCACTTCATATATTTTTCATTTCATTGAGGCAAGAACATTTAAAATTCCCTCTTCTACTTGTTTGGAAACCTTCACTCCAATATCATTAACTGTAATCACACTACTGCACAATATAATACCAGAATTCATTCCTCCCAATCTAACTCTGATTTTTTACCGAAGTTTTTGATAGTTTCTCATTCTTCATAGTTATATACTTAGATAATTATCTGTCTAACTGGGAAGATAGACATATTTTATAGATGCCATGCTCAGAACCTAATCAAAATGCAGAGAACAAAGGAAAGAAAATTTGAGTGAATCAATGTGGTGATTTAGATACATATGTTAGGGACTGTAGATCATTGAAAATATCTTATAGTAGAACTGAAGACTTTAACTGGTCCTGCTTTTTGGCATTTCAGTTACAAGGCAGAAAATATTTCAGTTACAGGACAGTTACTCATTAAAATCTTAACACTGGGGACCAGTGCTGTAGCATAGTAGTTTAAGCCACAGCCTGCAGTGCCAGCATTCCATATGGGCAATAATTCGAGTCTGGGCTTGCCCACTTCCAATCCAGCTCTCTGCTAATGGCCTGGGAAAACAGCAGAAGATGGGCCAAGTGCTTGGGCCCCTACATCCACATTGGAGATCCAGAAAAAGCTCCTGGCTTGGGATTGACCCAGCTTTGGCCGTTGTGGCCATTTGGGAAGACTTTTCTCTGTCTTTCCCTCTCTCTTTTTAACTCTGTCTCTTAAATAAATAAATTAATCCTTTTAAAAATCTTATTAGAAAATATTAGTATGTAATTATTAGATGTTTCACATTTCTTTCCAGTGGGAACATATATAAGTAGATAGGTAGTTGTACATATGTACATAAATACACAAGGTTGTGCATATTTACTTAGTTGACATATGAAAATTGAATATATGGATACTTTGTTATATATTAATAATTGTATACCTTGTATAATATTCAAATCAAGGTAAATGTCTGCATGAGGGTACCTCAAATATTTTTGGAAAACAGAATTGAAACATAACTGTTTTGATTCAAAAATATTTTAAATCCACACATTTAAAGAGTCTTAAAAAACTTGTGAAAAATATGTATTGTGAACTGTTATGCATGGATACCAAACAATTTTTGCACTATAATAAACTTACCTTTCAATTCCATTGTTCCCATGAACTTTTTGAGGCACCCTCATATCTCCAAAAGCATGTACCATTTCTTTGTGCTGAAAACATTTGAAATCCTTTCTTCTAGTGAAATTTTTTTTCTTAAATTGTGGTTGTCTGTTCTGTGAAACAGGAGTCTATTATTGAATCAAGTTCTCAGGAAGTCTTTGATCCCTGAAGTCCTTTTTCCAACTAAATTTGCATTCCTCTGGTACAAAAGTGCAAGACAACAATAAATTCAGCAGTGCTTATCACTAGCAATTTTCTATTCCCTCCACTATTAATGCTAGCCCCAACAAACCAGTTAGTAGATTAAGGTCCACACTGTTTTTTAATAAAAGTCAAAGCAATATAGATAACAGTTAAGTGTTACCATTTGCAACTAAATTCAATTATCCATTTTATTAATATTTTTAAAGGTGCTTATAAAAATATCTGATCATTCTCATTAAAATTTTGACTCTCATTGTTCAAACTGTCCACTTATACCTGGTTGAAGTCTGTGATTATCGATACATTTTAAATTACTGGGTGATATTCTATTCTAGAAGGTTCACTAAATAACAGGGCTTTTTTTTATTTTGAAAAGTTACATTTCCCTTAACTGTGTGTTTGATCTATGTTATCTTCTGTAAGTACTGGAGGGATTGGAATAAAGAACAAAAAATCCAAAAAGCTGAATAGAAAATCTCAGTCAGTGTTTAGGTACGAAGATCCTAATATAATTCTCTATCACTTAGCAAATTAAGAAAGCATTGCTTTTATTTAAATTCTCTTGTTAGAACCTTTTAATAATCTAAAATTTTATACAGTACAGTAATATGCTTTCTTGATATATAACATTTCATGAAAACTAAAAATTCCTTAAAAAGGAGGAATAGCCAGTCTAAAATCATATGAGGCAAACAGAACAAAGCAAAATAAAAACTGATATAAGTAACTGCAAATAATTGTTTGCTTCAAACTAAAATCAAGCAGGAGACCAAAAGATGAAGCAATGTGATATATAATGCATGTGTATGTTTCTCAGAGACAGGATCTGATTTGGCTTAGTTGGTAGGAGTATAGAATTACCAATAAGGAAATGATATAAGTTCATTCTCCACAAAATTCCAGGTTCTGTTGTCTATGATGATGCTATTAATTTTAGTTTTGTTTTCAGGGTAACCCTGTTTAGTTTAAGGCAAATCTGTCACTATTCCTCAGGACACTCATTTAAAACATATGTAGTGACATCATAGTCCCAGTAATTATTATTATTACCTTTCCATACAAAATTTAGGCCTGAAAAAAATGTCTACACTCTTAATTTTTCAAAAAAGAATACTCCTGTATACTATAAAAAAGTCTGAAAGATATGGCCTAAAATTTTTTTTAAAGACTTATTTATTTATTTGACAGGTAGAGTTATAGAGAGGAAGAGGCAGAGAGAGAGAGAGGTCTTCTGTCCGCTGGTTCACTCCTCAGTGGCTGGAGCTGAGCTGATCTGAAGCCAGTAATAAAAGGCTTCTTGTGGTTCTCCCTTCTGGGTGCAGGGGCCCAAGTGCTTGGACCACCTTCCACAGCTTTCCCAGGCCATAGCAGAGAGCAGGATTAGAAGTGGAGCAGCCAGGACTCCAAATGATGCCCGTATGGGATGCAGGCACTGCAGGCAGCTATGCCACAGCACCGGCACCCCTAAAATAATTTACCAATAGAGGCAAATTTATTGCACAGCAGGTTAACCTACTACTTGGAATACCTACATCCTGTATCAGAATTCCTAAGATCAAGTACTTCCTCTGCTTCTAATCTAGTTTCCTGCTAATGCGTTTGGGGGGCAGCAGATGGTATCCCAAAGATTTTAGTGCTTGCCACCCATGTGGGAGACCTGGATGGAGTTTCTGGCTCCTGGATTTAGTCTGGCATAGATCCTACTTTGCCGCATGTGGATGTTGGACAAATGTCCAGAGAACAGAAAATCAATCACTCTCTCTCTCTCTCCCTCTCTCTCTCTCTCTCTCCCTCTCCCTCCCTCCCTCCCTCCCTTTCTCTCCTCTCTCTCTCCCCCTCTCACTTCCTTTCAAAAAAAAAAAGAAAAATGAAGAAATAAATATTTTATAAAATTTTCATTTAGGGAAACATCAGAAAATAGTGGTAAATAAACTTGAAGGGTAGAATGAGTGTGCATTAAAAAATTACAGAAGAGAATCTTAGAAAGTTAGAATAGGAGCAACTAAGCAAGGACCCTGAACAGTATACCAAATAGTTCAGCATCTTTTCTGTATAGACTAAAGAGAATTTCTGAGCTCAGGAAGGTGATGTGTGTGGCACTATCAGGGCTGTGTGTTACAGTATTTCAAGATTGTGTTTGTATCAGAAAAAAGATTGTATTAAGTTGATGAATCTATTTCTTTCTACCTTTTAAACCTGCTGTCAGAAGAAAATATCAATACAAAATATACCACGTTAGGAAGGCTTGAATAAAAAAGAACTTCTTATCTATTTTGTCCCTAAAATCATGGTGAAGAAACACTTTCAACAGAAAGCTAAATGATTGATATACACAGTATCTTCATTGCTGATTTATTTTACTTCTATGGATATATTTGTTAAGTATTTGAAGATATTTTAAAAGCTTTTGGTGATTTTTATTATAATAAAAATATATTTCTGTTATTTCAGATGATGGTGCCCCTGCATTAGCTGAGCAACTGTGGTGAGTTTGGTTTTTCTTCTCAAATATGCATGAAATGTTTTTCTTTCTGAGATTCAAAATGATTTATTTTGCCTCTAAAACCTTTGGTTAATTAATTTTGTTGAATGAGTTTTCCTCGGGCAATCTATTAGACATTTTAAAATATTCATTCTTTTCTTTTTCAATTAAAACTAAGATTTTAGTTTTCAATTTGATTTTGTCAATGGAGGGGTGCCTTTTCCACAGATGTTTCACATATTCAAACTTTAACAATCTCTCAGAGAAGTAATATCTTGTTTCAGTGTTATAAGAAATATCTTCCAGTGTTTATATTTATAGTGATATGCCCAACACTTACTGATACAAGTGCTTACTTTTTTTGTTTTCTCTCATAATTTAAAAAGAAGGGCAGGAAGAAAAATAATTTGCATGACTAAACATAGTGTCCTTACTTTTCTATGTGTATTCTTTGAATACTAAGATAAGTTGCTACCTTGTTATGTCTGTCCTAAGAGATTAAACCCGACATATATGTATGCATTTCCTGGACTGCCAAATTGATATTTTCAATAATTCTTTTTACATTGCCATACTTTATAAAAAGATAAGAGTTTATATCATCAGATTGTTACCCATTTTACTTCCTTGAGTGGTTACCAGTTTTCCTCCGCATACAGTTGCAATAAGGGAAAGATTATGAAAGAGCACTTTCATATTGCCCCTACCCTGTACTTTGGAAAAGACTTTTTGGTAAAACAGAAGATGACCAGAGTGGTGGCAGACAGGAAGGAAGTTTGGAAGTTTAGCAAAAGTTTACATAGGTTTTGAATAAGTAATAATATGGCCACTAGTGAGGGATGTTACGTGGTGTGATTTAGGGAGAAACAAATGTTGGAGAGGAAAAATCTTTGGAGAGTCTTACTTTATGTTGTATTGGTGATTGCTTCTCAAAGTTTAATATGCCTATGTGTTGGCTGGTCTATCATGTCAAAGTGCAGGTTCTAATTCAGTAAATCTGAAGCAGGGTCCAAGAAAATGCATCTCTATGTACTTCTGGATGATGCCAAAGCCCAGGAGTCACACTGCAAATCCTCTCCCTATTGCTCCTTCAATCATGACCCTAATTTTGAAGCACTTGATTTGCATTTGTTTTAGTGCTTTTATTTCACTGTGTAAAGATCAATCATAGGATGACAACAGAAGTGCCCAGTTTTCATCTAGTCACAAGAAGCTGGCCTTTACTAACTCCCTCTGTATTCCCTCTCATCTTATTAATCTGTGGTAAACTGTACAGGATTAAGAATAATCAATGACTTTGAGTCAGGTAATTGTCAAGTGATAAAAATGTAAAATTTTATTTTTTAATGGTATTCTTCAAATACTATAATCTATTCAAAGGCAATCATACCATCACCTTATAGTAGTCATATTACAAAAAACAACAACATGGTGTGGGTATTTGGTAGCCACGGCCATAAAACAAGAAGACATTATCATCATTCCTGAGTTTGAAAGTAGATTGCAAAAAAAGTATAGGAATGAAATGGACATTTTATCATATGATTGTCATTTTTAGCCCTTGTTGATACTCCTGTGGAACTATGGTCTTCCTAATTTTCACTTGATGAATATTATGGCTAATGGTGAATTAAGCCTGTGAATATACAGTGTACTAAATTTATGTCTGCAAAAAAAAGCAGAAAGTTGTTGATTTTAGTCTTGCAAATATAGTATGATGGTTTTGGTTTTGTATCACAGTCCATCAAAATTATGAGTGACACCTAATGTAGTCCTCAGCTTGTTCAGATCCCACAGATGTTCAAAAACAGAATGGTTATGCAAGTGAGGGTGAGTTACCATTTTAATGGTCAACAGGCCTAAGTCACTGGTGTAAATTAATCAGAAACTTCCTTAAACCCAGAGGATTGTAGAAGCCTTGGAGAAGGCCATGGAAGTACAATTTGCAAAATCAATCTGAACTTTTGTACTAAAACTTTTATTCTGGATCAGTGCTCCTTAAGCTGGAGTGTTTATTTGAATCATCTGTAAATTTGAGATAAAAAGTAACTGCTGAGCACCATCCAGACCAAATTAACTCGAAGTCCCTCAAGAGGAAGCCTGCTATCCAAGCGTTGATGCTTCAGCTCCCTGTTGAACCCATAGTAAATGTTCCTAAGAATATGCATTTTCAGCAGCTCTCAAGCAATGCTGATGTTACTGATAGTCTGTGGGCCACATTTGTAAGCATCAAGAACCTACTCATATGTTCAGAGCAAGTCAGTATTGCCTGTATGCTGGAAGTGGAGAATGGGAACGGAAAGGTAGAAAGAAGAGATGACACATACAAATGCATACTCTGGCTAGAACATGCAACTCCTATGGCTGGCCCTGTGGCTGGCAGGTTAATTCTCTGGCATCCCAGTCTTGGGTGTTCTGCTTCCAGTGCATCTTCCTGCTAATGCACCTGGGAAAATAGCAGAAAATGTCCCAAATGCTTGTGTGCCCGCCAACAATGTGGGAGACCTGGATAGAGTTTCAGGCTCTTGGCTTCTGACTAGATCAATCCTGCCTATTACAACAATTTGGGGAACTATTAGATAGAACATCTATATTTCTATGTATCTTCTGTATCTCTATCTATTCCTTTTTATCTCTGTCACTCTAAATAAATAAATACATAAATAAATACATCTTTTTAAAATACACGCAACTCCTCACATGAGTAGATCCATGTGTCCTTGGAAAACTCCAAGCATCAAAAAATTAAATCATGAGATACCTGAACTTGCATTAATGAAGTCCACTTGATTTCAGTGCATTGCAAATCAAACGGTACAAACATATATTTGCACAATTGTTACAAATACAGATGTAAAGTTGGGGGTATAGTGATCAGGGATTTTAAATTGAATGACCATCCAAGATGATTTTAACCAAGATCAAATCTTTGAAGCCAAATTTTTAAAAAGATTTATTTATTTGAAAGAGTTACCGAGAGAGAAGGAGAGACAGAATGAAAGTGCGAGAGTATGAGCCAGAGAGATCTTCGATCTGCTGGCTCCCCAGATGGCTGCAATGGCTAGCACTGGGCCAGGCGGAGGCCAGGGGCTAGGAGCTTCATCTGAGTCTCCTGTGTGGGGGCAGGGTCCCAAACATTTGGGCCATCTTCTGATGCTTTTCCCATTAGCAGGGACCTGGATAGGAAGTTGAACAGCTGAGATAGGAACCTGCACTGATATAGGATGCTGGCATCACAGGTGGTGGTTTTACCCATTATACCACAACCCTTAATACACTGGCTCCTGAAGCCAGTGTATTAAGACCACACACCACCACCTTTCCTGGCCTTATTTCAGCATGCATGGATTATTCCCCTTTATAATGTTTCTCATTTTTACTTGTAATACATGAGGTCCAAGTTTCAAACTGTATTTTTTTTAAACTCAAGACACAATCATACACAATCTGTGTTTCAGTTTTCTTTTGCTTCAATCACAATTAATAATACCAGGAAAAAATCTTCAAAAAGATAGAATACTAAGGTCAAAAGAATGGAACCACACCATCAGTGGTCTACAAAAGAACTAACTTACTTAAAAATCAAACAAAATAAAGGTCCATAAATACCTTTAATCCAAAGTTATAGAATATGTCACCTTCTTCTTTAAATCTCTCCCTACTTTGAATCTCTGTAGATGCTGAGAGAATTGTGAAACACTATCAGGAATGTATTGGTGGAATATTAGGGGTGTTAGTGTTGGCATTAGTGCTAATAGTGGTGATATTTGTTATAATGGTGGTAGTCATTGAGAGCATTGATTGTAATTATTTTTTATTTAGCATATTTTTACATCAATTTTTAATGTGATATTAATATAGAGTATAAGTAAATGTACTTATTCATAAAGCATCTAAATCACTATTGAATTATACTCTTTATTATTTTCTTCAATCTATTCCACAATTTTGTGGGTTAGTACAATCATTTCCAATTCTGTAGAACTGGAGCATCTGAGGATAGTAAGCCTTAAACTCCTCACCCAAGTCACAGTGCTAAACTGGATAGTGATCCAAAATGCAAGAATTCTCTTACTGTTTTTACAAACACTCTTAATCTCATTGGCTTTAAATAACTTCTTGTTATTCCCCATGATTGCGTGGGTGGACTGGGTAGCTATTCTGTTCCACCACGTTTTGGCTGGACCCGCTCCTGTGGCTACACTGAAGTAGGAGCATAACTGGAGGCTTCATTTCCCCATGTGGCCTCTCTTCTTGAATGGCGACTCATCCTCCAGATGCTTCCCACGTGGCAGAATAGCCTAGACTTTCCACCTAGCATGAACCTGATTTCCAAGGAGTATTCTGAAAAACAGGCCTCACTGGAAATTCCTTCCCTATATAATGCTTGCTAAAATCTGGTTGGTCAAGGTGAGTTATGCAGCCAAGCCCAAGGTCATTGTAAAAAAGACCAAACAAGAGCCAGTATACCTGGAGGCATGGTTTGCTGTTCTACAGCTGATATGTTTGACTGCAATTATTATAGGATATATTTGTTAGAAAAGTTATTTATTCACTTGAACAGTAGAGTCACAGAGAAGGGAGAGAGAAAAAAAAAAGAGGGATGTAGGAGAAAGAGAGAGAGAGAAAGAGAAATGAGATCTTCTATCTGCTGGTTCACTTCCCAAATGGCTGCAATGGCCGGGGATGGGCCAGGCTGAAGCCAGGAACCTGGAACTCCATCCTAATCTGCAGTCTGGGTTTCAGGATCCCAAACACTTGGGCCATTTTCTGCTGCCTTCCCAGGTACATTAGCAGGGAGCTGAGTTGAAAGTGGAGCAGCCAGGTCTTGAACCAGTGCCCATATGAGATTCCAACATGGGTAGCAGCTTTACCACTACACCACAACACTGACCCCCATAGTATATTTTAACTAGTATGGTATACTCATTTTCTGAGGGGATTGAAAATGAACACTGGAAGAAAGCAAAATACAAAGTATTGTTGAAAAGACATAAACAGAT